GTAATTTTGTTTTCTTGTGGAGTCCTTGTCTGGTTTTGCTCTCAGGATGATGCTAGCCTTGTAAAATGAATTTGTAAGTGTTCTCTTTTATTTTGGGGGGAGATTTTGAGAACTATTGATATTGATTTTTCTTTGAATATTTGGTAGAATTCACATTTAAAGTCATTTGATCCTGGACTTTGTGGGGAGGTTTTGGATTATTGATTCAATATCTTTACTAGTAATCGAACATTCACATTTTCTGTTTCTTCGTGATTCAGTATTAGAAGAGTGTTCCTAGGAATTTATCTGTTTACTAGAGGCCTGTTGCAGGAAGAGATTCGTGCAATAGGCCTTCCCTTTCCCTGGCTGCCGGCACCAGTTTTCCTCCGGCACCAGTTTTCCTCCGGCACCTGGGACCCAGGCATTTGCTCCGGCTGGAGCCTTCAGATTTTGCTGGGTTAGACAGAGCCTTCAGTCTTGGCTCTGCCACTTCATGCCTACATATGCAAATTAACCACCATTTTGTTGGGTTAATTTGCATACTCTCCTGATTGCCTGGTGAGTGTAGTGGAGGGACAGTCAATTTACATGATTGTCTATTATTAGGTAAGATTCTAGGTTGTACAATTTTTTGGCATGTGATTGTTGTAGTCTCTTATGATCCTTTATATTTCTGTAGTATCAGTTATAATATCTCTTCTGTTTCTGACTTTATTTAAGTCCCCTACCCCCCTACCCCCCACCCTCCCAGCCAACCCATGAGTCTAGCTAAAGGTCGTCTTTATTCAAAGAACTGGTTCTTGGTTTCATTGATCTTGTCTATTATCTTTTTAGTCTCTATTTCATTTATATCTGCTCTGATCTTTGGTATTTTCTTCTACTAACTTTGGGCTTTGCTTTTTCTTCCTTTTTTAGTTCTTTGAGGTGTAAAGTTAGGTTGTTTGAGATTTCTGTTGCTGTTTTATATTTTTATTGATTTCAGAGAGGGAGAGGGATTGATAAACATAAATGATGAGAGAGAATCATCAATTGGCTGCCTCCTACATGTCCCCCCGAACTGGGGATCCCAGGTCATAACCTGGGCACATGCCCTAACCGGGAATTGAACCTTGACTTCCAGGTTCACAGGTCGACACTCAACCACTGAGCCACACTGGCTGGGCGAGATTTTTGTTTCTGGAGGTGTAGGCATTCATGCTACACTTCTTGCACTGCATTTGCTGCATCTCATACTAGGAAGTTTTGGTGTGCTGCATTTCCATTTTCTTTTGTCTTGAGGTATTTTTTGATCTCTCTTTTGAGTTCTTTGTTGACCCTTTGGTTGTTCAAATAGCATGTTGTTTAATCTCTACATATTTGTGAGTTGTCTAGTTTTCTTTTTGTAATTGATTTCTATTTCATATCATTGTGGTTGAAACAGATGCTTGATATGAGCTCAGTCTTCTTAAATTTGTTAAGACTTGTTTTTAATGCGTGATCTGTCCTGGAGAATGTTCCATGTGCAACTTGAGAAGAAATGTGTATTAGGTTGCTTTAGGATGCCATGTTTTGTATATGTCTGTTATGTTGATCTGATCTAACATGTCATTCCAGGCCTATGCTTTCCTATTGATCATCTTCGTGATGGTCTATCCCTTTATGTAAGAGGGTATCAGTGTTCCATACTATTATTGTTGTGCTGTATAGTTCTTCTTTTAGGTTTATTAATATTTCTATTATATACTTATGTGCTCCTTTGTTGGTTGCATAAATATTTACAAATGTTTTATCTTCTTTTTGGATTGACCCCTTAATTATTATGTAATGCCTTGCTTTGTCTCATCATAATCTTTGATGGATTTTGTTTTTGAATCAAAACAAAAGAGAGCTTTAGTGCTCTCTTTTGATTGGAGTTTTTAGTCCACTCACTTTTAAAGTATTATTGATGAATATAAACATATTGCCATTTCGTTGTTTCCTGGCTGTTCCTCTGTTCCTTTCTACTCTCGCTCTTTTTCTTTGTGGTCTGATGATTTTCTTTAATGGTATGTTTAGATTTCTTTCTCATTATCTTCTGTGTATCTACTCTAGATTTGTGCATTGTGATTAGTATGAGGCTTACATATAACAACTTATAACAATATATAGTAAATTGGTAACTTAACTATGAATGCATTCTAAAGTTCTATATTTTTACTATCTATGTTTTTGATATCATAATTTACATTTTTAATTTTTGGATCCTTTAATTATTAGAGTTAGCTGTTTTTCATACTTGCTTTATAAGTGACTAATCCACTACTTTCACTACACATATGCCTTTGCAAGTGTAATGTATACTTTCATATGTTTTCCTGTTATGAGTTAGTGCTCTTTGGTCAGCTCGAAGAGTCCCTTGAACATTTCTTGGAAGGGTGGCTTAGTGGTGATGAACTCCTTAACTTTGGCTTGTCTGGAAAACTATCCTTTAATATGAATGACTTCGCCAGTGTTGGGGAAAGCCCCAGAAGTCTAGATTCAAGATGGGTTCTGAAGAACTGACATGTGGCCTTATTCAAATTCATAAAAGCTTTAATAGGAGAAACATATACAGGGGCAAAGCAGCGGCTCCCAGTGGTGGTGGGCCGGGAGAAACCCACACCCCTCCCAAGACAGAGTTCCCTTTCTAAGAAATATGTTATTTATTTATTTATTTATTTATTTAGTGCCCAGACTGGGAATCGAACTCTGATTCATAGGATGACACTCAACCACTGAGCCATGCCAGCCGGGCTTTTATTGATTTTAGGGAGGAAGGGGGGGGGGCGGGGGGATAGAAAGAGATAGAAACATCAGTGATGAGAGAGAATCATTGATCTTGATCGGCTGCCTCCTGCACGACCCCTACTGGGGATCGAGCCCACAACCCTGGCATGTGCCCTGACAGGGAATGGAACTGTGACCTCCTGGTTCATAGGTTGACGCTCAACCATTGATCCACACCGGCCAGGCCAGAGTTCATTTTTTAAAGGGGTTAATGCAAAACCAGATGATGGGTAGTTGTATAAACCTCCCAAGAGAACAATGTATCACTCTCTCCTCTCCTCCTCCTCCTCTCTTTTCCTCCCTCTTCCTCTCTCTATCCCTTTCCCCTTCTGGGACTCCTGTAATGAAAATGTTAGTCTGCTTGATGTGGTTCCATAGTCCCTTAAACTGTCTTCACCTTTTACACTCTTTTCTCTTTTTTATTCTTGAGTGATTTGATTCTCTGCCCTGTCTCTAATTCACTGATTCTCTCTTTCTGCTTCATCTACTCTACTATTGAACCCTTCTAGTGTCTTTTTCAGTTTATTTATTGTATTCCTCTGCCCTGTGATTATGTCTGATACTTTCTTATATTTTCTATCTCTTTGTTAAAGTTCTCGCTGTTTACCCATTCTCCTCTGAGTTTGTTGAGCATCTTCATGATCATTACTTTGAACTCTATATTGGGTAAATTAGTTAATTTCATTAAGGTTTTTTTTTTCTTCAGTTTTATCTGGTTCTTTCATTTGGAACATATTCCTTTGTCTCCTCGTTTTTCTTAATTCTCTGTTGGTTTCTATGCATTAGATGAAACAGCCACTTCTCCCAGGCTTGAAGGGCTGGCTTTGTGTAGGAGATGAACGTCTGGTTAATCCTGCTCTGCCCTGGCTCTCGTCTATCAAGCCTTTGTGATTGTCCAAGCAGGCTTTTTAAAAATTCCTATTAACTCCCAGTAGTGGAGGCTGTGCCAGAAACAGTCTGTGTCTCAAAAGGGAGCATCTCAGCACCCAGATTATTCTGATTAGAAGCCGGACCCTCAGGCTGCAGCTTTTAAAGAACGCAAATATACACAGTCCTGTCCTGGGGACCGGAAGGGTAAGCCCCAAGGCCACCAGAGCCAGGCCATCTGGAGGTGTTTCCTGAGCAGGAGTCACAAAGACCAGGTGCCAGACGAGTGTATACGCTCCTCTATGGGGCATGCCAGCGAGCTGTCTCGAGGCAGAGGAAGAGGGCAGAGATAGGGCCCCCTGGCTTACCTTCTCTGGGAGTAGCTCTGTAGCCTCAAAATTGTATGCCCAACCTGAAACCTGCAACTCAGACAAGCCATTCAGACTCTTTCACAGGAAAGCTGTGTTCAGTCTGTTGTCTGTGCAGTGCCCTGGGGGTGGTAGCCTGCCAAGAACTGCCTCTCCAATTGTTACGTCCTAGGGGACCCCCTGAGTGGCAAGTGGGGCACCAGCATGTAGCAGCGCCCCTCTGGGAGATAGTGGCGTGCCCAGCTGGCGCCTGCTGAAGAAAGAAGAAAAGATGGTGCCAGTGGCGTTAACAAGGCAGAGGGATAGCGGGAAGGTGGTACCCACCAGCCTGCATCCCCAAAGGGTGTGTGAGCACTTGTTCTCTGCCTGAAACACTTGCATTCCCACAGGCTCTATCCACAGGCCAGGCAGCTATGCAAACCAACACTTTAAAATCCACAAATGGGTTTCTTGCATGTAAAGTCCGGCGCTTTTCACGGGGCTGCTTCTGGGCCAGGTGGGTGCGTCTACCTGTGAGCCCGTTAAGAGCCGTGCCTGTTCGCCACAGCCACGCAGGTGATCTTCAGAGCCAGGTGTCTGGGAGGTTCTGTTTCTCAATTGCTGGTCTTAAAAGTTGGGGTTCCCCAGGAGAATTTCAGGGTTCCATTCCCTCCCCCTCACCCCCAGCCATGTGATGGGTTGCCCTGCCAGGGGTGGGGTTTAACGTGAATGTGTCTCAGCCCTTCCTACCTGTTTTGATGTGGCTTCCTTTCATTTTCTCTCGGTGAAGGGGGACTTCCACCAGATTCTAGGTTTTTTCCAGAGGACGTTTTTCTATATATAGCTTAGTTCATTGTGACCACAGGAAGAGGGTAGCGCGGGATCTTTTTAGGTTGCTAAGGTGAATCAGAACTATTGTTTCTTCTAAAAATGCTACAGAAGTTAATTTCACACTTGCTGACTATAAAAACAAGTAACTGAAAACATGCGTTCATACTGTTTTGTTAATTTTTCATATAGGAGTTTATACAAGAAATAGGAACTTTCGGCTGTATAAGTCATCAAAAAAGGGGAAGCCTGTAGTGTTGGAAGTCGCCGAAGATAACAGATTCTCTCTTACACAGTCAAAGAATACTTCTGAAGAGGAACAGTATTTCCTCTCTTCTTTGGTCAGCAATGTCAGGTATGTAGTATCAGAAGTAAACCATTGTGTATTCATGAATATTGCACAGTGAATGGCATTGCACAGCACTAAAATGTAAATTGTGCAAATTCATTCTACCTTACACAGGAAAGTTAGTTCTTAAAATTCTAGATTACTGTTTTCTGTTGTCTATTAACCAAAACATAATAGTAAAATTTATTTTCTAACCACATAGTATTCTCTTTATGTCTTTTATAATTATATTTTATATATTTTTCCAGTTTTTCTGAAATGATTAACATTTCTATAAAGAAGAAAATAAAAATAGTTTTATTGCATTTGGAAATATAATTACTATTAACATTTCATTTTTTCATATATGCACATACATATATAATTTTTGTAACTCCATCATTTAAAAATATATTTGTTGAGAGTATATGGCAGGGGTCCTCAAACTTTTTAAACAGGGGGCCAGTTCACTGTCCCTCAGACCGTTGGAGGGCCGGACTATAGTTTAAAAAAAAACTATGAACAAATTCCTATGCACACTGCACATATCTTATTTTGAAGTAAAAAAGCAAAACGAGAACAAATACAGTATTTGTATTTGCATTTGCATGTGGCCCGCGGGCCGTAGTTTGAGGACCCCTGGTATATGGTATGTCACCTGTTTTATCCACTCAACATATTCTGAATATTTGCCAAGTTAATAGTTTGCCAGCAGTTAATTATAAGTAAAACTTTTAATACCTATATAATTTTCCATTGTATTTATATACTCTGATTAGTTGTTCTATTGTTGAAGATTTGATTTTACATATTTTGGTCATTTAAAAAAGTGTGAAAGACTTCTTTCAACAGAAATTCTTGCCTTTAGCCCAGTCGGTGTGGCTCAGTGGTTGAGCGTCAACCCATGACCCAGAAGATCACGGCTCGATTCCTGGTCAGGGCTTGTGTCTGTGTTGAAAGCTCAATCCCCAGTAGCGGGTGTGCAGGAGGCAGCCAATCAATGATTCTCTCTCATCATTGATGTTTCTATCTCTCGCCCCCGTCCCTTCCTCTTTCTGAAATAAATGAAAAAATATATACATAAATATATTTGCCTTTAATCCCCTTGATTCTAGGCTTGCAGTTTTTGTTAGTCCAAAGCACTAAATTACCTTGTTAACTTGCTCTTCTTTTGCTTTCCCCAGATATAATCTTAAAGAGAAACTCCACAGAAATGAATTTTAATAAAACTGTTTAAAATATTTGCTGTGGGGAAAATTGTGTCTGGATTGTTAATGTACAGCAGTCCCAAGGAAGGTGGGAGATGGTTGCTTTTCTTCAGATGTTTCTGGACTGTTTGAGTTCTTCCATAACGTATCTCAGAAGTAATGTCAAAGTATTAGTTTCCTTACCTTTAAAATGGAAATAATACATCTGTCTTAGGGAATTGTTAGGATTAAATAAGTTAAAACTATATGTAAAAAATATATGCAGCCCTAACCAGTTTGGCTCAGTAGATAGAGTGTCGGCCTGCGGACTGAAGGGTCCCGGGTTCGATTCAGGTCAAGGGCATGTACCTTGGTTGCGGGCACATCCCCAGTAGGGGGTGTGCAGGGGGCAGCCGATCGATGTTTCTCTCTCATCGATGTTTCTAACTCTCTATCCCTCTCCCTTCCTCTCTGTAAAAAATCAATAAAATATATTTTTAAAAAATAAATAAAAGTGGTATAATAACACATATTTTTTTTAAAAAGACATATATGTAGTGCCTGGCACATAGTATTTGCTCAGTAAGTGTTGTAGTAGTGGTAGCAGTTTCTGAGATCTAGAAGTAGTATGGGAGTAGTGAAAAATGGTATGACAATGGCTGCCCCCAGTTGTTGGCCCCAGAATAAGATCACATCCTATCATGTATGGAAAAGCAACATAGGGGGCCTATGGTAGATACAGCCTGAAGTCCCCCATTTCTTTTGTAGCTTCAGTATTAATTTCACAGAAATGCAGAGTTCTACTGAATTAGGGCCTCCTTTGTTGTCTTTTGTGTATCCAAGTAGAGGATTTCTTTTTGAAATTAAAGGCAAAATTCTTTACGGTTATGAATGCCTCTTTTATTTCCATTAATTTCAATCCATTTTTCCCTTTGCTCTCACCAGTCTTTTCCTTCTCATTTCTTCCCATTATTCACACTTTTAAATCATTGTAACATTTCAGAGGCTCTGTCTGGGGAGTGGGATTACACTTCCTTCCGTCCCTTCAGCAGCCTCGGAGTCCTTGGCTCACTCCGCAGAACGTGTTTTAAGCGATCACCAGACTCCTCTTTTTATGTCGGTAGGATTGGTGCTTTTATAGGCAACTGTGGCATAAATGTCCTGGAATAATAGCTGTTGAACAGAGGATTTTAATATGGAATTCTTTGAGGTTGTTTCTTTTCTGTAGCTATGTCTCTTTAATTCTAATATAATATTATCTTGTTTCTTGAACATATTTTGTTCAGATTCTCAGATACTTTGCGAGTACTTAGATGTGATGCATCCGAGAATAAACAAAAACAGGCTGGGCATTTTAATAATACCAGCACTTCAGGTAATTATACAAAATAATTTTCTATGAAAATTTAAAGATGTTAAATCTGTTTTGCCTTTAAAATCTTAAATCTTATGTATTCATATCTACTGATCTTTTAAAATGATTAAGTTTCTATCCAAAATGAAAATTAAAGAGATATTTTAAAACGCTATTTACTAACTTTCATTTATACCATTTTGAAAAAACCCCTACCTAAGTAATATATTGTTTGTATAAAATGAACACATATGAAAATAAGACACCTAAGAGTTCTCTTCATCCTCTGTCCACAAAGGGAGGACCACTGTCAGTAGCTTCGTATTTAACCAGGAGGGTTTTTCCTGTATTTCTGTTAACTGGAGAGCATCTCATTCTTTTAATGGCCGCAGTTTCTCATGAAAAGTATATATTCTTCATTCCTATACAGAAGAACATACAGGGTTTTTTTCCTAAGATTTCCTACATAAACTCTCCAGTGAACATTTTTATATACATACACACACACACACACTAGAGGCCCAGTGCACGAAATTCATGTGGGGGAGGGGGGCACGATGGCAGAAATGGGGGATGTCCTTCAGCCCGGCCTGCACCCTCTCCAATCTGGGACTCCTCAGGGGATGTCTGACTGCCAGTTTAGGTTCAATGCTCGATCCCACGGCAATCGGACATCCTTCTCGCAATCTGGGACTGCTGGCTCCTAACTGCTCACCTGCCTGCCTGCCAGATTGCCCCTAACCACTCTGCCCTGCCTGCCTGATTGCCTCTAACCGCCTCTGCCTGCCTGTCTGATCACCCCTAACCACCTCTGCCTTGGCCCCTGCTACCGTGGCTTTCTCCAGAAGGACAGCTAGTCTATCAGTCTAATTAGCATATTACCCTTTTATTAGTATAGACTTTGGGCTATTATTATTTATAATAGTGAAAAACTGAAAACAATCTAAGTGTACAACAAAATGGGATTGGTTCCATAATATAAAATTCTCTGAAGTCATTTAATTAAAATTTATAAAGTCTAATATGGGAAATATCCACTTATGATGTTAAGAGAAAAAGGTCTAATATAATACGGGAAATATCCACTTATGATGTTAAGAGAAAAAGTAGACTCAAATTATATGTTGAAGTATGATCACAAGTTTTAAAAAAATATGAATAACCTATTATATGACTAACAGTTATTTCAAGACATTGTTTTGAAGTTTCTCTTATTTATGCTTTAATATATTTCCAAATTTTTTCCAATTATGTATATTACTTTTGTAAGGGAAATACAGGCTTTATTTTTAGAAAAGTAGATTATTCTATCTTTAAATGTTGAATGAGATTGTAAATAATTTATTCTTAATTATTCCAGTAGATACTTAGATACAACATGTAGCGGAATGTCAGTGCCCTGCATCTAAAGACCACCAGAGAACACACTGTGTTGAGCAAGCCAAGTGTATTACTGGTCACAGCGATGGAGAGTGCACACCATAGGGAGCCACGGGGCATCTCAGTAAAGGGTGTTAGGATTCGGGCTTGAGTTAGGGACTTTTGAGGAGGGCCCATCAGGGAAAGTTCTGTGATGAATATTGAGAAATCTTACATAAAAAGAAGGCAGACTTCAGGGAGACTAAAGCTGTAACGAGGTAAGAAACAGCAGTTAATTATGTTAGACAAGATAAGGGTGTATTTGATCATTTCTTTGGCTTGGAAAATGTCCGTTCGTTTTGTCTGTGTTCAGACATGTGTTCTTTTTGTCTGGAAACATCATCGCCACAGAATGACCTCATCTGATGCTGAAGTTCTGTGAAATAGTTTCTGATGAACTGAACACAAGGGCTGAGCTGTGGTGCCCAGCCACCTGGTAGCCACAACCAAGCCCACCTCATAGGACTAGGCAACTCCTGGGTGTAAGGGACTGTGCTTCCTTATTAGAGTGAAGAAAGCAATTGATATGATTATACATGGTTTTGGTAATCATTAGTTGACATTTGGCTTAATAGAGAGGTTTGAATTTTACCTCCTTCCTTGTAGGATAATAAAAATCCATGACTGATTAAAAGGAACATTGCAAAAAGGGGAGATTGGGAACCAAGGGGGAGGAGGTAACCCAAAATTATACTAAGCAACTTAAATCAGAACTTCTCAACTTTAACCATTATCATTTATAATTAATTTTTCTCTCTGTTGCAGTAGAAAACATTGAAGGTTTTCAGGCCACGCCCTACCCTGAAATTGATCAATTTGTTCTTTCTTTGGTGAATAAAAATGGCATTAAAGGAGGTAAAGACAATCTTATTTTTTATTAACTGTTTTATGATAGAGTAAAAATGCCTTTAGGCCGAAACCGGTTTGGCTCAGTGGATAGAGCGTCGGCCTGCGGACTGAAAGGTCCCAGGTTCGATTCCGGTCAAGGGCATGTACCTTGGTTGCGGGCACATCCCCAGTGGGGAGTGTGCAGGAGGCAGCTGGTCGATGTTTCTCTCTCATCGATGTTTCTAACTATCTCTCTCCTTTCCTCTCTGTAAAAACTCAATAAAATATTTAAAAAAAATGCCTTTAGAAACATTATTTGCATTTTAGGGATTCGGCGTTGGAACTACTTTTTTCCAGAAGAATTATTGGTGTATGACATTTGTAAATATCGCTGGTGTGGAAACATTGGAAGAGCCCACAAGAGTAATAATATCATGTAAGTAATATTGTTTATTAATAAGTTCTACATTTTAACCAATATTTTTTAATATTTATAATTTTTAAAGTTAAAAATTATTGTTTTTATAATTGATATATATAAAAGAGTAAGTTGATTCGCGCATACGTGATACAATAAAGCTCTCCGTTGCGCCAATCACACGCATGTATTTCGATCTGTCATTGTCAATCGTGAATTCAGTTGACACCTCTATTATAGAGAAAGGGTGAATAGAATAGCGATATTAAAATATTTCTTCTAATTAATTTCCTTTCGGTGTGCACAAATTCGTGCACCAGGCCACTAGTTTAGTTATAATTCAATTTATATTTAGTTTGTGTTATAACATTTAATTTGAATATTTTAATTACAACCTTCCACCTTGCACCTATCATCTTCATTTGTACTTTATTTGGTAAAATAATCTCGTAGATAGTATAACCTTTAGAGGACTAAGGTAGGATGCAGTGGAGCTAAAAGAAACGAGACAGTAGATGATGAACAATGGGGGAAGGTCTGTCTCCTATTGCCGGTGGCCCCTGACACCTGACGGAGGCTAAAGTGCAATGGAACAATTTGGACAAGAAGGGAACTTCTTAGTGTTAGGAGTTGGAGTGCAGGTTATGGTTATGTGTTCAAGACGCAGAATGGCATAGAAGGAAACCACTGTTTACTGAATGCTTGCTGTCCATGCCAGGCCCTGTTTTAGTTTTAGTTTCTTTTTAATCCCCTGGCAAAGGAGAGGAAGTAAAGGATGAAGTAAAACCAGAAACAGAATTTTAAACAATAAAAGGATATGGTTAGAACAGGGATAGAGTAGAAACCCAGGTAGTTATGTTATATAAGAAATTGTGCTGTTTATCTATTTACTGTCAGAGCGGAGACATCTGTATGTCCAGCATATACAGCACATGTACCAGACGTGAGAACGTGTCACATAGCAGCTGCTGGAAAACCAGAACGCATGCTGGAGCATGATTCTGTGCTGTACTGCACATGTAGCTTAATTCATTAAACAATTTCAGAACTATGCTCAACACACAACACTGTAACAGCAAAACACAAAGGAAGATATCACCCTAGTCCCTGAACCAGTGATAACTATGGTTATGGTGTATCTTTCTAGTCTTTTTTCTATGCATATAAGTTTACCAGAAAATTATCATCCATGTACAGTATATGACCATCTTTTAACTTTCTGAAATTGTTGGGTTGCTATATCTTTCCTTCTGAAGAATTACCAGTATTATGTATCCATAATCTACTTTTCCTTAACTGTGCAGTACACATAGAAAAGTGTGCCACGGACCTGTGCATTCTACAGACTGACACTTGCCACTGCTGCCCCCACGGGACGAGCAGAACTTGGTCAAACCTCAGAAGCAGCTTGTGGGCCCAACCCCAATTTATTCCTCTTCTCTGGACCTCAGACACAACAGCTGTTATCCTGAGTTTTGTCTTAGTTTTTCCCTCGCTTTCTGAACTTTTTCCATATGTGTTTGTATCCCCAAGCAGTATATCATTTCATCTTAGACTATTTTTGACGTTATGTAAATTGCATGCTTTGACCTACTTTTTGGTCAGCATTGTATTAGTGAGGTTCATCCATTCTGCATGTAGCTGTTGCTCACTCTGCATTATTGTGTAAGAGGTCACTATATAAACACGCCAGCTTACCTGCCCTATGAACATGTCGCTGTCTGTGATGAATAATGAAGCTACCCATGTGCTTGTGTGTATTGTCTAATGCACATGAATTTCTCAAAATATGTATCTGAAAATAGCTGCTGTCATAGAATATGCATGTACTTAATTTTACTAGGTAGTAATTATTTTCCCTACTGGCCATGCTAATTATACTCCCACCAGCAGTGTTTTCAGATTTCCTACTGCTCCATATTCTCACCAAAACTTTGTTAGGTTTAAAACATTTGGTTGGCTAATCTGGTGGGTGTAAAATATTGTAGTTTCATATGAATTTCCCTGGTTAGTAGTGAATTTGAGGAGTGCATTGTCAAACCATACTCAGGAATCTGAGATTCCTACCCAGTGTCAGGCTTTACTGAAAGCGACAAGGAGTCGGAGGCACAGGTAGCAGACTGAGGCCGGGGACACCTGGCAGGTCTCCTGGGTCCTTCCTGCACCGATGCTCTCTGACTCAGGTTAAAAGCTGAGGCAGAGCCCAGCCAGGGTGGCTCAGTGGTTGAGCACAGACCTATGAACCAGGAGGTCATAGTTCGATTCCCGGTCAGGCACATGCCCAGGTTGTGGCTCGATCCCCAGTGTGGGGTCTGCAGGAGGCAGCCGACCAATGATTCTCTCTCCTCATTGATGATTTTATCTCTCTCCCTTCCTCTCTGAAATCAACAAAAATATATTTTTTTAAAAGAAAGCAGTAAGCTGAGGCAGAAGTGAGCAGTCAGCGCACACAGCAGGGAGCACTGAGGTGGTGAAACATCTACATGTTATACTTAGTTACACAGCATGTGACATTCTCAGGGAACAGTGCCTCATACCATGGACAAGGTTTAGTTGCTGGGCAGAAATCAGAAACGTCTCGCAAGAGCATTCTGTGGATAAGGACTCGGCCTAGCAGGCAGCATTGGTCCCGAGGGTCCCAGCCTTGGATCCAGGTGCCCTTAGATTCTCGGTAATTTCTTCACATTGATCCGAGGCCTAAGAATATCTAAGTTCTGTTCGTGAAATAGTTTCAAACAGCTTCCAGTATTTGCCCTAACAGTTTGGTAGCTCTTTGAAAAAACAATATTCATTGATTTGTATTTGTACACATAGTGGAATGATCACCACAGTAAATCAGTGTCACCATAGTTACAAAAATTTTTTATGAGGAAAGCCTTTAAGATTTACTCTCTTAGCAACTTTCAAATAGGCAAGACATCATTCTTAACCATAGTCTATGCTCTGTTATAGCCCCATGACTAACCTAAAACTGGGCGCTTGTAGCTTTGACCCTTCTTTATACAGTCACTGTTAAGGGGATGTGTGTCCTCCTGAGCATCCCGTCACCTCTTAAACACTGCCTCCCCCCCCATTGTCTCCTTCCACGTTGATGTTTATGGCTCTTTAATCACAGCCACACCACAAACTCCAGCTCCCCAAACACCGACACCAGGGAAAGGGATGAAGGGTGATGCAATATTAAAGCCCCAAACTGCAAGCTGATATCCAGGCACCATTTCCCTAATGTCCTGTTTGCCGCAGGCTCTGGTCCCTGGGAACTGCAGCTTCGGTTGTTCCTAGGAAGTCTGTCACTGGACTGTCTATGAGGCAGTGAGAATGGCTGGCCTGCATTTTTCTCTCCTGGGTTCATGTCTTACTACCCTGTGGTGGAATATTACCATTTATGTTTCATTGTTTTAAAAATTATATTTTATTGGTTTTTCACAGAGAGGAAGGGAAAGGGATAGAGAGTTAGAAACATCAATGAGAAAGAAACATGGATCAGCTGTCTCCTGCACACCCCCTACTGGGGATGTGCCCGCAACCCAGGTACATGCCCTTGACCGGAATCGAACCTGGGACCCTTCAGTCCGCAGGCCGACGCTCTATCCACTGAGCCAAACCGGCCAGGGCTATGTTTCATTTTTTATGAAGTGTGGGATGATTTTACACTACTTAAATTTAGTGGTTATAGAATTGCTTTAGTTTGCTTAGTTTGGTATATTTCTATCTAGTATTTTGCCTACTTTACCAAAATTTTCAATGTAACTGGCAAAAGTTCATAATATTCTTATATTTTTAGTACAACTTACATTTGTAGTTACATCTACAATTTCTAATAACATTTGTGTGCATACCTTATTTTTTAATTAATCTCACAAGAAATTTACCAGTTTTCACATTTTGGCCCTTTGATTTTTTAAAAATTTTGTTATTACTTCCTGCCTTTTCTCTTATTAGGATTTATTCTATTGTTCATTTTCCATTGTTACTCATTTGTTTTAGCCGATAATTTTTGTAAGTAAGCGTTGAAGATCTGAAGTCCCTCTGTGATAACTTTAGGTCCATTTCACATATTTGAGTATGTCTTTTCAATGCCATTCAGTTCTAACCATTTACTAATTTCTACCACGATTTCTTTCTTGGGTCAACTGGTTATTTACAAGTTTTTTAATTTCTAATTATAGGTTTTTAGTAGCTATCTTTTTATTTCTAAACTTGCTTTGTGAAGAGGGAACATGTATGAATGAATACTTTTAAATTTAGTAAAATTCACATTGTACCTAGCAATTTTTAAAAATTTTTTTTAGCAATTTTTATAAATGTTTTATAAAGAGCTGCTTTTAATTATTTGAAGCAGTATTCATATATAACTATTACATCAAATCTGTTAATTGCTTTTTTAAATTTCAGAGAGAGGAAGGGAGAGGGAAGAGATAGAAACATCAATGATGATAGAGAGTCATTGATCAGCTGGCTCCTGAAACCTGGGCATTGTGCACCCTGACTAAGAATCAAACTGTGACTTCCTGGTTCATGGGCTGACGCTCAATCACTGACTTAACACTGGTCGAGCCATTAATTGCTTTTTAATTATGTAATTCAAATTTCCTATATCCTTACTGATTGGTTATTTGTTGTCACTTATCAAAAGAATGTTTTTTCTTAAATCTCAACTTATGGTAAAAGGTTTGTTTATTCTTAAAATTGTCAATTTTGCTCACAAGCAGGATGGGGCAAAGTAGGTTTACAGTTGAGTATGTGAAAAACAGAGTTTACTATTGTATTATTTTCCATATGAAAACTATAAACCTATGTTTGCCCCACCTGTACTTTGAAGCTATCTTAATTGTGTACAGAGTAGGAAATGTATTTTTTCTTGGGAGATGTATTTTTTTTGCCCGCAAGTCCACTTTGTGTATTTTTGGCAATCAGTTTTCTTTTGCTTGGTGTATATTTACTTTTTAAATTTTTGTTTTCTCCATCTTTAAGAATTAGCATAGCTCTTATAAAGAGCATGTAGCTGAATTTTCTATCTATTCTAGCTATTAAATAACTTTTTTTTTTAACATAAAGGATTTTGGTTGATCTGAAAAATGAAGTTTGGTATCAAAAGTGTCATGACCCCATATGTAAAGCGGAAAACTTCAAATCTGACCGTGAGTTATTAAATTTTACATTTACCACAAACTGAAGATTAGATGTCTGTGTAAAACAGTTCCACTCTCTTTCCGATTCAGGTTTTCCTTTACCTGCTGAAATATGCCTCCCGTTTCTTCTCAAAGAGGTAAGTGCAGATTTTGGTTTCTCTCCTGACTTAGTCCTTGGTACAACGTATAAAAGCTATGAGTAGTGTCCAAATGTGTCCAGTTTTTACACACCCTGTGGGAAACGAGGTGTAGCGCTGTTCGCATCAGCACACCGCATTCTTTTGCACTGCTCCCTATCTGTTAACCAGTCCCAAGTGTTAGCAAAGTTTTGCTCCACAAAGTATACAAAAATACTCATCTTTGTGTTTCTTTAAACGAAATAAATCTGCAGGAAGAATTTCTAGTAGAATTATGTCAAAGGGAATGTACACATTTTAAATTGTGGTAGATTGCCAAACCAACATTTTTCCTTTTAAAACTTTCTTACCCAAAATAATTTACATTCATTGTAGAAAATAGAAATACATAAAAATTAAAAGGGGGAAAAATCATCCTCACTTATATATATAGCATATAGCTGATGTAAATGTTTTGGTATGTATCTTCCAGAATTTGTATCTGAGTATGCATATACATATATGTGTGTGTGTATATATATGTATGTGTGTGTGTGTGTATATGCACTCATATACACACACACACACATATATAGTTTTGTAAGCTTTTATTCCTAAACTATCAGAAATATTTTCAATATTACCAAATTGCTCTCCACTTCAGTTTATGAGAGCACCTGCTACCCTACATTTTGCCTTCTAATGTTTACCAACCTACCATGCAAAAAAGTGGTATTTTAGTTGTTTTACTTTACATTTCTTAATAATGAAGTTGAACTTTTTTCAGATTTAATAGATTGCCTATACTGTCCACGTTTCTTCTATGTGGCCTTAAGTACTCCTGTGCCATGTTATCTTCCAGACTTTTTATTGGTTGGTTTCCCCACCACCCATCTATCAGCCTTGTCCTTGAGTGTTGTGGTTAGAATAAAGGTTAGCCAATATGAGCTAAGTCTCATTCTTGGTCTCTAGAAGCTGGACTAAATAGCTGGTAGAGTCTCTGATAAATTAATTTTTAAAAAATAAAAAAACTGTCTCTAAGAGGAAGAATATCATCCTTGTTTGACCTGGAGTATTATTTTGAGCATGTTTATGGTTTCAGTGGGTCTGCTTATCTAGTCAACCCTCAAAAATGCCAGATGGAAGTCCTCTTGGTATAGTGTTACCACTGCTGTATAAATGGTTTCGGTTTTAAACTTATGTCTTTGTCATTTGGGGCTTCTATAACCACAGACCAGGTGGCTTCTAAACAGCGGACATTACTGCTCAGTTTTGGAGGCTGGGAAATCTCAGATCAAGGTGCTGCCTGATGGGAGCCAGCTCCCCGGTCAGAGATGCAGCTGTTATGTTGCACCTGTTTCTACGTCCCACGGAACAGAAGGGAGGGTTCTTGGGGGTCTCTTAAGGGCACTAATCCTATAATGAGGGCTCTACCCTCATGGTGTAGTCCAGTCCCAAATGCCTCACTTCCAAATACCATCATGTGGGGTGTTAGGATTTAACAGTCAATTTTAACAAATCTCTTGAAAGAAGGCTGCAAACTTCAAACCCTTCATCTCTTAATATTTAAGCATGTAGCTGGAGAATAAGAGCATTTTATTAAATTCAGAAAATTTAATGTTGACACAATACAATTATATAATATACAATCCAGTCACATTTTGACAATTGTCTAAACTGTTTCCTTAAGTCTGTTCAGATCTGCTTTCCAGTTTGCCTTCAGCTGGACTATCCACTTTTTTAAAAAAAACCAACCTAGCCCTGCTCTAGGCCGCCTCTTTTTTTGAACAGGATGTATCGTAGGAACTGCAGGCATTTCCAGAGTGTTTTGGCGACAGTGGCAGCAATATTTGAACGAGAGAGTTCACTCTCAAGGTGACGGTATCAGAGACACCACCATGTAGCATATTCACTTGGATGCCTGCTGTACTGGTCTTATACCTTAATCCAACACAGGTTGCTCCATGAAATTGTCACATATTCTGAATGAATACAGTGTTTTCTCCTATCCCGTCCTTCTCTTTGGAACTAAAGGAAGAAGAGTTTGCAGCACAGGAAACCATGAACGATGGGACCCAGAGCCTTCATGTGCCATCATCCAGCGCGTCGTCAGGAGGTGTGTGCTCTGACCCTGACTGGGACAGTGGCCCTGATGATACTTATTTCTTGGAAGCTACCGAGGATGCTGAATTAGCAGAAGCTGCAGAGAACAGCCTTCCCAGTTATAATGGTGGAGTGGATGAAATTCCTGACGAAGTAATTGTGGAAGTATTACAGAATAGCTAATTAACTGTGCACTTATAACCAGGTTGTAATTTGCCTGAAGACAGATTAAATTACAGTATCTTGTTAAATGTTAATATCAGTTTTATCATTTTGCATTCCAATTCTTGATTTTTACTGAAGTAAACCAGTTTCATTGAAAATTAGATTCAGTGTACTTAAATTCAGTAGAAATCTCTTATTGATTAACCAAAGTTAGTTTGTATGCACGTCAGCTAATTTTGCGTATTTATAGGTTAACTTATCACTCAGGACACTAACCTAGTAAGGTAATTATGTCTTCTCGAGCTACTGTACAAACTGGTGACACGGCCGCACACCAGACTGAACAATAGACACGTTTACTTTCTTACATCTATCGAGTGCTGCTTCAGCGATAAGCAGGAGCTGCGGAAGGCAGCAGGAGCGTGGGACTCATCTGTACCCAGGCGGCACGTTTTAGCAGACTGGTCTCATTTCTGGGCAAGGAGTTTCTCCAATTGATGGTTGATATTTTGCAGATGGCTTTCAGCTCCTAAGAGAGTTCTTTCTTTGAATAACAGCGCTGGGAGGCTGGATGAGTCATACTGTTGAAGGAAAATCATTTAGATGAACAAATACTAGTAACTTTTATATTATAACCCTATTTGTTCCACACAGGTCAATGCTGATTTTAATAGAGCTAGCCATTAACTACTCATCTTTTGAGGTAGGATTGTTCATTTTGTTTTAACCCATTTTCTTAGGACATAATTGATAAATAGGTTTCAAGGGAACTGTTCTGCAAGGCTTGAGTTGACCTCATACCAGACCAGTTGTTCAAAGAACTGCCTTTGAATTATGGAAACAAGTCGCTAGATCTCGTCCTGTGTAAGGCAGATTTACTTTCACTGTAAGAACTGAAGGAATGAGCGCTCCAGGCTCATAAAAGTGAAAGTTCATGAAGGAAAAAAGCCATCGCCTGGAGAAATTACTTACTGGGAAGAGCAATTGAATGTCTTAAAAGTTGCCAATCCAAATTTCTTAATGATTAAAAAAATTAGAATACAAACCCAAAATAAAATAGAAAAAAACCCCAACTCTTGATTTTAAAATAATTAACAAAACCAAACTTCATGTTGTAAACTGTATCTATGGGAGAGGAACTAAATTCCCCTTACAGAATTTTATAATTATGATTGTTTAATGTGATTTTCTGAGACATGAAAATTGAGCAGAAAAGCTGCCAGACTATACCATTCACATAATAATGGAATTAAGTTACATATTTGAGAACCTAAGGTGTTCGAGCTACCAGGAGGCACCTGCTCTCAGGGAGGGGTGAAGGGGAAGAACTAACATTTATACTAGAGCTTTAGTTTAGGAAAAGAGGTAAGATATATACCCAAGTAACTATACTCTATAAACAAAAAGGACAGGTGCTACAACAGAAACAGAGTAATGTATTCAAACAAGGTAGTCACAATCTCAGTTTCAATTTCTCCACGTTTAGTAGCTAAATCTCCACATCCATATGACAACCTTTAGACTAGTTGGGTACTGTCACAGGAAAAAATAAAAACGTTCTATTTCCAGATCTTTAACCGACAAATAAACCTTATTGTAGGAGGATTAACTTTTAGACCAGTGTCAAAACCTAAAATTGGACCTGGCTGGGTGGCTCAGTTGCTTGGAGTGTTGTTCCATACACCAAAAGGTTGCAGGTTCAATCTCCAGTTGGGACACATAAGGGAGGCAGTTGATTGATGTTTCTCTCTCCCTTTCCCTCTAAAAATCAATGAATATGTCCTCGAATGAGAATTAAAACTAAAACCTTAAAATTGCATTTAGAAGTGAAGAATAAAATATGGTCATAAGCTATATGTACATGATACATATAAATTTTCTTTCTGAAACTTAAATATTCCTATTAATATGAGCTGATTCTCCTAACAGTAGCAAAGTCTGCAGCAAAAATCCAGAAGCAACTATAAAATTTATTAAAACAATCTATCACACTTTCTTCTACTATATTTCCTTTTTATGTTTTTCAACTTCTAATATTACACCTACCATTTTATGGGATAATGATTTGTTTTTCAAATAAAAAAACATCCTACAAACAGGCCTGTCTTTAAAACATGTCTGGGTGGTCTTATATGATAATAATTACAATAAAGCCTAGTTGTTCATTTGAAATTTGTACAAACGGGTTACTTCCCTGAATGGGATTTGGTTGTCTGAAATGTAAATCTCTCTATATAAAAGCCTAATATGCAGTGTCCCCTCAGGAGTTTGACCACTTGCTATGATGTGCGCTGACCATCAGGGGGTGGCGTGGAACAAAGGTAGGCCCTGGCCGGCACTGCAGCTGGCAGCCGCTTAGGGACTCTACCTGTGTACAAATTTCATGCACTAGGCAGGCCTCTAGTACCTTTATAAAATAGGTGTTTCAGGAGCCTTCTCTACTCCTCTAGCCTTTATTAAATAGCTAAAGCAGCAATGATCAAACATATTTCCAAGGATTTAGAGCGAAGCGGTTTTGAGTAGACTGTTACGTTGCATCTATGTTTCTCAAGTCCTCGTAGCTTCTGGTACTCGCATGCAAGGCCAGCTTCTGAAGCACAGTGAAAAGTAAACAGAACTTACCGTTTCCTTTACATTTGGTTGTCTCTCCTGAATATCTGAATAATCTTGATGAAGCTGCTTTAAATTAGATAAGAAGCATGCTGCATCCTTCAGAGAAGATTTTCTCTCCTTAAGTTCATCATATTTTGTTTGTAGTTGTTTCAGCTGTGGTTCTAAACTAAAGCAAAAAACAAAACACACACACACACAAAACGTTTCCCTAAAAATAAATGACATAGAATAGTAACAGTCTACATAAGTGTATGAGCCTGAGTTGTAGATATACTGAGCGAAGTTAGAAAAAACAGGGGTGGTGGACTGGATAATTTAAGGCATGTTTGGCTCTGAAATTATGGATGCGTGAAAGATTCTAGATTTTCTGTTTAAAACTCTGAAATATGACGCACAATGAATTCCACAGAAGAATATGCCCTATATCAGCAGTCGCCAACATGTGGTCCAGAGACCACTGGTGGTCTGTGAGGTCCGAGAGGTTGGTGACCACTGCCTATATAGCCTAAAACTCATTTTTAGGGTCTTGGGAACTATGGGATTAAAAGCCTCAGGCAGGAATAGACAGGCAACAGCAAAAGCATGGACAAAAAGCCTTTTTGCCCTATCACAATCTTGTCCATTTCCAAGGTCCAAAAATACCCAGGGGCGGGGCAACTGCCCCCTGTGCCTGGGGAAACGGCTTTCTCTCGGCGGCTTACTTCCCAAAGCTAGGGAATGCATCTGCACGAGTGTCACCAAGGCACACGCTGCGACAGTCACGTCAACAACCGTGAACACACAGCACTTCCTGTGTATTTATCCATTCGGTTCTCACAACTCTGTGAGGGGACGGTCTTATGCTCATTTACAAATGAAGGCGCGAGGCCCCGGGAGGCTAAGTAACCTGCCCACGGTTGTGCAGCCGTAAGTGGCAGAGCCTGGATTCACACCCAGGCGGTTTGGTTCTGGAGTCTGCAGCCCAGGCTGAGCTCTGATGGCAGAGAGCAGTGCCGAGTCTCCTTTGCCAAACGCTGCTCTGGTCCTGCAGCTCCTGAGCTCCAGGCAAACCTGGGTTCACGCAGCCCAGCAGCCGATTCTCTAGCCCACGGACACGTCCCAGTCCCTCCTCAGGCCTCCGACGTTCTCTTACCGAAGCAGTTCATCCTGGACTTCAACCAAACGCTGCCTTTTCTTCTCAATATCCGAAATCGTCTAAGTGACACAGAAATCCCTTTGTTAAGTTACCTTCACAAATATGTGAGTGCCACCGAGTATCCTGTGGTACAGTGGAAGCAAGTGGGAAACAAGACCCCATTCTTTCCGCCATGGAACTTTTCGGGAAAGACGTTACGTACAAACAGTATGTGACTACAACTTCTGACCATGTGCTCTGAAGGGAAGCAGGGAACTCTGGGAGAAGGGCAGGGCTGTTTACTCCAGAGCTTCACTGAGACACAGAGAAGTTTCGGTTTTACCCAGGCACCCTAGGAAACATTGGGACGGGTTGGCAGGGTCGGGGTGCACTTTTAGGACATTTCAGTACAATCGATTTTATTCCTGTAGCCAGCACTTGGAGTGACTATGTAATACTCCTCTGCTGGGCATTCAGACTGTCCCCACGTACAGGCAATGCAGAGGTGACCAGAGATTAAAACGACAGGATAAAACAGGAGCAGAGCCTTGTCACTGGCAGGAAAAGGTGCGTGTTTCCCACCCATTTCTACCGTAAGGCAGAGGGGCAGCTGCTCTTCCACCCCAATTCATGCAAGTTCAGAGCCAGAACCTCGGGTCACTGGGTCTATAAACAGACGGGGCCTAGGCTCCTGGCTTTCCTCCTGGCACACCTGCTGGGGGACAGTTTGCAGGTAGTGCAACACTTGAGCGGCCGAGCCAGGACAGGAAATGAGCTCTCCCCACCCTCAACCCGTGTTCTCCCAGGCTGTCCGTCACCTGGGACGTGGGACAGCTCTTTACTCTAAAGGCTTTGCCTGTCTACATCCACGAAAGTGATAAACATGCATTACTCAGGCCTTACCCATTTAGGGCTTCATAGCCATTTCCCTTCCTTAGCGTGCACTCACAGTTCTCAACCACAAGACCAGCCAGAGAAAAGCCTGACTAAGAAGATAAGCACCTTACACAAACGGAAGGGCGTAAAACCCCGGCAAGTCTCTACTCGGCGACATGAGCTTCTAATCACAAGCGATTTACCTTAGCATTCCTCCTCCTCAGAGTTTTCAACATCTGGACTTCCGCAAGCTACACGAAACAAAATATCCGCATGACATTTTCCAAAGTTAAATGTTAGTTTATAATATAATCACATTTATTTGAACACATGTGAAATACTGCTAATTCCCACACTGCCAGCACATGCAGTCCTTCCACGATATCTGCACGCTGCCTCGGGACGAGTAAAAAAGATTTAGACCAGAAAATGTGTGTCAGTGAACTTACCATTCTGATGAGTTCTTCTTTCATATTAGAATGGAATTTGCCGACTGCTTCCTGGCAAATTTTAGATTCTATGTTTTGTCTGTAACAGAATTTTTTAAAAAAGGATCAAACTAGGTATCAAAGGATTGTGAAAGAGTATGTTTCCTTTGCTTATCACATCAACACAATTTCCCATAGAGCATTCTGAATATCTAGGACGGCATGATCAGTCCTTCTCAGGCTTAAAAATACTGGAAATGTCTCAACAAAAGAAAAAGAACAGGAAACACTTTTCCCTAAACCCTCAGGTATGCGGTCAGCTGCACATCCTGACCCTGGCCATATCTGCAGGTGATGCCATGTGATGTGGACATGTGGTCTTCCTGCCCCCGATCAATGACCAGCAGACTTCAGCCCCTACCTCCTGCCTGCTAACAGCTGGAGGAGTACTTGTGTAACGTGTCTGGACTGACCAACAAGTAAGGAGCCAAAAGCCAGCTGTCCAATTCTTGGAAAACTATAAAGCGGACCCTGAAAAAGACACTGACTCAGGACCTGGGACGAGAGAGAAGAGCACAGTCTCCCAGCCTGGCTTCCTCATGGCGAGTGGCAGACGCACAGGGACCGAGTCAGCAGCAGACACGGCCAGGCTGCGGCTGGGCCCCTGCTCGGCCTGGGCACACAGGACACTGTCCAGTGCCCTCGTGATGCTTCAGAAGCGACGAGTGCACAAGAGCAGGCTGCACCTTTCAGTACAGACCTTTGTGTCAAAGTCCTCATGAAATGCGTGTTAACTAGTATTTCTAGTGGCATCAGCAAGACAGTGAAAGAGGAAGCCTCAGACCTCATTCCCCACAGGGAAACCAACTTAGCAGCTGTATCAGGCCCCAAAGCCTTTATGTGCGTTCCCAAAACCACTTAAAGAGCTGCAGCCTGCCAGGCAAGTGCAGGAGCAGCCCACGGAAACACTTTCAATAATGACATAACCACACAGTAGCCAGAGGACTTGAACACTGACCCGACGGGAACTAAGAAACCTTTACCAACACTCCACCCAAAGCGGCAGAACACACGTCCTTCTGCAGCGCACAGAACATGCCCATGACATCCCACATGTGAGGAGACAAAATAAGCCACCAGTTTAACAAGATGAAAATCATACCAAGTACTTTTTCAGACCACAATGGAATAAAACTAGAAATCATTAGCAAAAGGAATATTTAAAAATATATGGAAATTAAACAACACAGTCTTGAACAATTAATGGGAAAAAGAAATATCAGGGGAAATTTAAAAATATCTTGACACAGCCATAGCCAGTTTGGTTCAGTGGATAGAGCGTCAGCTGGCAGGCTGAAGGGTCCTGGGTTTGATTCCGGTCAAGGGCACGTACCTCGGTTTCAGGCTTGTTCCCCGGCTCTGGTCGGGGTGTGTGCAGGAAGCAACCAATCCATGTGTCTCTTTCACATTGATGTTTCTCTCTGTGTCTCTCTCCCTCTCTCCCACTCTCTCTAAAGATCAATGGGAAAATATCCTCAGGTGAAGATTAACAAAACAAACAAACAAAAAAAAAAAAGAAAGAAAGCCTCACTATTTAAAAAGATGGGTATCATCAGTTCATGAGATTTGACAACATATTTGAAATAAAATAGAAGGTTAATACAAAAATATAAACTAAAAAGTCACATATTTGGATATAAACATACTACTAAATAATTTACAGGGTTAAAGAAAAATTATCATGGAAGTGTAAAAATCTGTAAAACTAATAATGAAAATACTACATATCAAAAGCTGTGGGATAAGCAAAAGTGGCGTTTCAGGGGAAATCGGGTACATACATCCCATCAACACTTACTTATACTCAGGGAGGGTTTCCTCAAATGCTGACAAAACAACATCTAAGTCCATGATGTCACTGCTTTGCTTTCCTTGTAGACACCAAATATGTGCACAGTCAGGCATACCTAGAACATTAAGATAAACCAATGTCATATGTGGGTTATCAATACTTTGGCTCTAGTCCAGGGCTCTGCAAGCCTACAACAAAAATCATCCCACCAACTGCTCACTAGTGGTAGTTGAAGCAGCATACGGAGGAGACATACTCACTGCTCCTGCCCCAGCGCAGGTCCCAAAGCCCCGTCTATACCGTCACCCTAACTCAGTGGTTCTCAACCTTCCTAATGCCGCGACCCTTTATTTAATACAGTTCCTCATGTTGTGGGGACCCCCAATTTCATTGTTACAAATTGAACATAATTAAAGCATAGTGATTAATCACAAAAACAATATGTAATTATACATGTTTTCCGATGGTCTTAGGCGACCCCTGTGAAAGGGTCATTCCACCCCCAAAAGGGTCGCGGCCCCAGGTTGAGAACTGCTGCCCTAACTGCTGTCTCAGTGGTTCCCATATTCACTTCCGATAAAGCAGCCCGAAGCACCGCTGCCTGTCCATCACTTTGCTGGGCCTTTATTTAATCGTCTAGCACCACTGGTCCAGAGCTCTTCTCTGTAGCCATACTTTCTTTTTTACTCTACTTAATAGGCCACCTCTAGATATCAAACAGATGCTCAGTGTACCGATTAGACACTTGTAGTTACATATACACTAGAGGCCCGATGCATGAAATTCGTGCGAGAGTAGGCCTTCCTTTCCCCAGCTGCTGGCACCGGCTTCACTCTGGTCCCCAGGACCCAGGCTTCCCTCTGGCTGCCACGCGGGCTTCCCTCACAGAGGGAGGCCCCACCCACCCGCCGTAGTCTGCCAGTTAGTGGCAGGCCCCCGACCGATCACATCGCACCCGCCTTGGCTGGCCTGGCACCAGCGGGTGTCATAACATGGTCATTCAGATGGTCGTTCTGCTGTTCAGCCATTCGGCCGATTTGCATATTATGCTTTTATTATATAGGACTAGTGGCCCAGTGCATGAAATTCATGCGGGGGTGGGGGGTGGGGAGGTGGTGTCCCTCAGCCCTCTCCAATCTGAGACCTTTCGGGGATGTCTGACTGCCCGTTTAGGCCCGATCCCAAACCGGCAGTCAGACACCCCTCTCGCAATCTGGGACCGCTGGCTCCTAACTGCTCACCTACCTGCCTGCCTGATTGCCCCTAACCACTCTGCCTGCCAGCCTGCTCACCCCCAACTGGCCCCTCCTGCTGGCCTGCTTGCCCCAACTGCTCTCTCCCCACCACCGACCTGATCACCCCCAACTACCCTCCCCTCCTGGCCTGATCACCCCTAACAGCCTCTACCCTGCCACCACGGCTTTGTCCAGAAGGATGTCCAGAAGGTCTCCCGGAAGGTGTCCTGATCTAATTAGCATATTACCCTTTTATTAGTATAGATGTCAATCTCTAACAAAACTACAGCATATTCTTGAACAAAATATCTTCTAAAATGGCATTGTAGAATACTTAGGATATAGTGAAATATTTTGAGAATATGATCCCATTTCAGATGAGAAAGCTTAATAAAAGTATTAAAAAAATACAGACAAAAAAACATGGTAGTTATTTTGGGGTGATGGAATTAGATGATTTTATTTTCCTTATATATTATAAATTTTCTAAAATAATCATTTTTATAACAAAAATATATAACTTTTCCTTTAAAAAAAACTGAAGTAAATAGAAAATGCCTTATTTTCCTATGAAACATTTTTCAATAAGCTTTTTGGGTGAATAAAAATGATGCAAAATAAATGGATGAGTCTGAGAACAGTTATGCTAAATGAAGGAAGTCTTATAGAAAAAAATCACATGCTAAATTATGTCTGAAATGAGTATATTCTATTTGATGAAAAATTAAAATGGATTAATGGATAGCTGACAAAGAGAATACATTTTAATAGAAAAATCTAGGTGCTGAGTATATAAATATATATTGTAAAATATTTCACCTTTACTGTTTGTTGAAAATTTTCATGATAGAGGCTGAGGAAAAAAGTTACTCCAAAGTCACGTTTTTACCTACTATAAGGAACTTAGGATTTTTAAATGGAATCATTGAGTAGCTGTCAAACATAACCCACTCTTCTGTACCTGAGTCCATGGCTTCGTTTCTTGATTTCTTTCTTTTGCCACGAAACGTCTTCTTTTTCTGAGTTTTCTATAAAAATAATACGGCAAAGAATTTTACTTAAGTTTTTCATCTTCTTTTTTTTGGGGGGGGGGCGGGGAGGGGTGAGTATAAGATTTGAGCCAAGCTCATGACAATTGCTGGGAAGCAAGTTCACAAATGCTGTTTTCTTTTTCTTAAAAGGATTAAGACAGTATTATCAGACACTGTCAGTTACTATTATAGCCATAATTCTTATTTATTTCTAAGTTAATATTAGTGAATTCTACAAATTATCTAAATTGATATAAGGAAACACTGAAAGAAATTAAACTGTTCCCCCAACCCCCAAACAACCTTCCAGCGGGTACTTAACAACGGTTGCCTTGGAGGAAGTTGAACTTTTATTATTTAAGATAACGTGTGGAATCAGCTGCTTTCAGGTTACGATGGAGTAACGGCTCTTGCCATAAACAACTCTGAAAGCAGTTGGTCCTATTTAGAATGAGAAAAAAATTAGTAAAAAAACTAAAGGCCAAATATGGGTTATAGAATTGTCCGATATTTTATCTTTCTTTCCATACCTTACAAATACTCTAAAATAAAAATCTACACTAATAAAAGAGAAAAATGGTAATTGGCGTACGACGCTACCCTTTTCATTGGCTAATCAGGGCTATATGCAAATTAACTGCCAACTAAGATGGGCAATTAACTGCCAACAAGATGGCGGTTAATTTGCATATGTAGGCACAATGCAGGGAGGTGAAAGGGAAAGCAGGAAGAAGCCC